GTTGACCATCTGGTGATGTCCATGTGTAGAGTCTTCTCTTGTGTTGCTGGAAGAGGGTGTTTGCTATGACCAGTGCGTTCTCTTGGCAAAACTCTATTAGCCTTTGCCCTGCTTCATTCTGTACTCCAAGACCAAATTTGCCTGTTACTCCAGGGTGTTTCTTGACTTCCTACTTTTGCATTCCAGTCCACTATAATGAAAAGGGCATCTTTCTTGGGTGTTAGTTCTAGAAGGTCTTCAGGTCTTCATAGAACTGTTCAACTTCAGCTTCTTTAGCGTTACTGGTCAGTGCATAGACTTGGATTACCATGATATTGAATGGTTTGCCTTGGAAACGAACAGAGATCATTCTGTCATTTTTGACATTGCATCCAAATATTGCATTTTGGACTCTTTTGTTGACTATGGTAGCTACTCCATTTCTTCTAAGGGATTCCTGCCTATAGTAGTAGATATAATGGTCATCTGAGTTAAATTCACCCATTCCAGTCCATCTTAGTTTGCTGATTCCTAGAATGTCGACATTCACTCTTGCCATCTCTTGTTTGACCACTTCCAATTTGCCTTGATTCATGGACCTAACATTCCAGGTTCCTATGCAATATTGCTCTTTACAGCATCGGACCATCACCAGTCACATCCACAACTGGATGTTGTTTTTGCTTTGGCTCCATCCCTTCATTCCTTCTGGAGTTATTTCTCCACTGATCTCCAGTAGCTTATTGGGCACCTACCAACCTGGGGACTTCATCTTTCAGTGTCATTGCCTTTTCATACTGTTCATGGGGTTCTAAAGGCTAGACTACTGAAGTGGTTTGCCATTCCCTTCTCCAGTGGACCACATTTTGTCAGACCTCTCCACCATGACCTGTCCGTCTTCGGTGGCCCCACGCGGCATGGCTTAGTTTCATTGAGTTAGACAAGCTGTGGTCCTTGTGATCAGATTGGCTAGTTGTCTGTGATTGTGGTTTCAGTCTGTCTGCCCTCTGATGCCCTCTCAGTGCCTACCAGCTTACTTGGTTTTCTCTTACCTTGGACATGGGGTATCTCTTCACAGCTGCTCCAGCAAAGCGCAGCCGCTGCTCCTTTCCTTGGACTTGGGGTAGGTCCTCTTGACTGCCACCCCGACCTTGGATGCAGGGTAGCTCAATCACCATATATTTATATATATCTGAATCACTTTGCTATGCACCTGAAATTAACGTAACATTGTAAGCCAACTATATTCTAATAAAAAAATGATTCTTACTGATGCTACTGTGACATCTTTAGTTTGATAAGAAAGTTTCTAAGGATCATGAGTCCTAACACTTATGACTAATTCATACCAGAAGGAAACAATATCTCATCAAGAATTTATTTTTTTAATTAATAAATTTACTCAATTCATACTTACAATATTAACATAATTAATTGTATAGACAGAAAACTGAAGTTTGTTCTTTAAATAACTCCTGCTTATAGTCATCAAGCCCTTTGTTAGTCACTAATCATAATAACTTATTTGTTTTAACCAGCCCAGGTTGGATGCACGAGACAAGTGCTCGGGCCTGGTGCACTGGGAAGACCCAGAGGGATCGGGTGGAGAGGGAGGTGGGAGAGGGGACCGGGATGGGGAATACATGTAAATCCATGGCTAATTCATTTCAATGTATGACAAAAACCACTGCAATGTTGTAAAGTAATTAGCCTCCAACTAATATAAATAAATGGAAAAAAAAAATAAATAAATAAAAATTAAAAAAAAAAGTTTTCACTTCTGCTCAGTACATTTCAACAAATTTTATTGCCTTTGTGTCTTTAACCTTTAGACTTCCGTCTAATGACTCCCTTTAAATTTTATCTTATCAAGGAATGTGGCAGCTTAGCATGTTGTTGGCTGAGTAAACTGTGTCAAGAGCTGAGAAATTCTTAGCAGTGAAAATGGTGCCTAAATGGTTAAATGTTTGGAAAATAATATTCTGTTCCTTTCACAGAAAAATCCTATCATCAGCAGTAAGTTCTGAGATCTGAGATTCCTTCATAATCACAACCTTAATACCCATGTGTATATGGAGAGACACATACATTCACTTTCTTTCTCACACACACACACATGCACACACACACTTACTCTTGTGATGCTGATGAGGAACACCCTACTCATTAAGATGACTGACCTGTTGATCAGCCACAGCTTCATGGTCACAAATGAGATACTTGTCTAAACAATCACACTGACTAGTTCAAAAATGTCGGGGGAAAGGACAGCTTAAAAATCTTGGATTCAGAATGTTATCCTTCACTAAGACTCTCTCATGCTCAAAAAAGACCCTCTTAGCACCAAACTCTAAACCTGGAGATTTGGGTTGTAGTCATTCCTGTAGGCTTCTTATAAAGTGACAAGATTGAACCATTGAACTTTTGATTCATTTGATTTTATGATATGTGTATGGTTTATAATTAGCACTTGATGTATTGCTTCTAGAAAGTGATAAAGTTAAGAGATTGTCAATTGGGGTCAAACAAGTCTGGGTGTAAATTCCAGCTCTGCTCATTCCTAACTGTGTATTTGACATTCAGGTGTCATTTTATCTCTTAGACTCCAGTTTCCATATTTTATCAACTGGGATGGTAATCCCTATTTCTCAACTTTTTTCTGAGGATTAAATGAGTCAATGTGTGAAAGTGCTTACTTAGCTCAGTAATCAGTAATGGGTATTATTTTGAAATGGTAAGAATGACTTAGGATCCATACCTCGGGAAATACAAAGACACAAAGAGCATTCTCTGCCTCTACATTATTTGGCATTGTGCTATCAATTGCTATCTTGAAGTTCCATGTGTGACACAGACCTCAAATAAAATATCACTTGTATTTCATTCTCAAGTTTAAATAAAATTTTAAATTTAAATAAAAATTTAAATATTTCACTTTAAGTAAAAATTTGAGAATTTTATGTTTAAATAAATTTTGAAATTTAAATAAAATGTTTATATTTAAATTTTAAACAAATTGAAGGAAAAGTTAAATTTTAAGTAAAATTTTAAAATTTAAATAAAGCATTTAAAATTAAAATTTATTTTACAAATATTTATTTGACTACACCAAATATAAATAAAGTACTATTCATTTATCTATTTTATAATATTTATTTTTTATTTGTTTATTGGAGAAGGAAATGGCAACCCACTCCAGTATTCATGCATGAAAAATCCCATGGATGGAGGAGCCTGTTGGGCTACACTCCATGGGCTCACAAAGAGTCAGACACAACTGAGCTACTAACACACACAGTCACTTATTTATTGGGTTGCAGCATGTGGGCCCTTCCATCTTCCTTGCAGCTGTGCCTGACCTTTTAGTTGCAGCCTGTGGATCTAGTTCCCTGACCAGGGATCAAACCCAAGCCCCCTGCATTCAGAGCATGGAATCTTAGCCACTGGATCACCAGGGAAATCCCTGTAAGTTTAAATAAAATTGAATGAAAAGTTGCATTTTAATAAAAATTTAAAATTTAAATAAATCAATTTGTTGCAGGTAACGAAGACAGGCACATCCATACGACCAATTTGCAACAAATAAGAACTGTGACACGTGAAGCGAAGCAAAATGAAGAAAACGCGACTCGCCCACAGCCAGCCAACAGGACCCACTTGTCGCGGCCACTAGGAGGTGCCACAGGGAGCTCCTCTCCTGAACTAGAGGGACCCCAGGAGCCCACCTTTGAGTGGGGAATCCTGAGAAGGCTGTCCCAACAGGACGTGCGTGCGGAGATCTTCCTCGGGAGCTTTCTGCTGTGGGCCGACACCATAGAAATGGTACGGGTGGCCGGGCACCCCAGGGTGTACAAGTCAGGCTGGGTGTACGCGGTCTACATCTTCAGTTACATTTCTCTTCTTCGAATGACACTCACTCCCCGGAACCCGCTTCTGAATTGCCTTGGCATCCTTCTCCAGGATCTACCTTTTATCTTTGTTAGACTGAGTTTAATCATTGTCCTGGGAACAATCACACCTGTATTGGGTCTGTGTAAAAATGTGCTGGTGACTCTGTCTTATGTTTACTTCAATTACTTAACCGGTTTCAGGATGTTCTCAACCTTTGAGAGGTCTTTTTAAAGAGAAAATGTCCTATAGTCAAACCTCTTTTTTATGCACATGCATACATTTGTGATCTTTTTGCAGGGCAGGCATATGTTATTTTGCACTCTAAGAAGAAATGAAGAAATAGATGCTAGAGAAAAAACTATTTTTAAAAACTATAACGTGTCAATTTTTAACATGTATGCAAATGGTGCTAAATGTAAGCAAAGTTGTTGTCTTTTAAGTTGGTTCCCCTAGATTTGTAGAAAATGTCAGTAGTTAATTTTGTTATGTATTCTGCACTTTTTCTAAAAGTACACTTCAGTAAAGCATCTTAAAAAATGAGAACATGTCTTCCTACTAAGTTAGTCCAAGAATGAGATTTTTTTTATTGTTGACAGAGAGGGCATTACAAGAATTAGTTAAAATTAATTTTAGGAAATAAGCCTGTTATTATTAAATAAGTTTAGATTCTATCAGTACTTTTAACAAATTGACCCTGAGGGATGGAATGGGGAGGGAGGTAGAAGGGGGGTTCAGGATGGGGGACACATGCACACCCATGGCTGATCCATGTGTTTTTTTAAAAAAATTGAATTGTTTTAGAGTCTCTCTCCTTCAGACATGTAATTGTTCTTCATTCCTCTGTGGCAAGAGATTTTTATGTAATTAGTTGATTTCAGCAGAGAAAGCAATTTAATTTTATAGACATTTGATTCAATTTAATGTAATGAAGTTAAGGTAAGATCTAGATAAACTTTTATAATAGGAAGCCACTAATTGAAGAGGGAAATTTCAAAGTAAAAGAATATTGATTTGTGGAATTTGATACCATCATGAAAGCAAGGTGCAAGTCCTGTTTAAAGTTAGAAGTTCAACTTACAAATGTAACAGCAAGTGCATTAGTGTCTTATGTGATAATATAGAATAGTTATCTTGACATTAAATAATTATATATGGAATTATGTGATTTGATTTCATATGATGGGATACCCTCAGATATGCATAGCAGGGGCTCTCCACTCTATATAAATTTTCCGATGCTACAGAGATTTCTGAGAGTCTTACATGTGCAGTGTAATGTTTTATGCAGGCAGTGTCTTCAGTGATCTGTGGTAACAAATAGCTTAAAGAATGAATAACTGAATTTACCTGCCGCTCCAACTCTCCACCAAATCCCCCAGTCTCACTCTCCCTCTGGGCTTTATGGTTTTTCCTTATACCGTAAGATAAGGTCTATTCACAGTTACTAAAAGCTTAACTTCCGGTTTTATGACTTGGGGCAAACATCCCAAAGTGAGTATATTACTAGTACTTTAATAAGGTTAGTAGTGTTAGTTGCTCAGTTGTGTGTGACTCTTTGTGATCCCGTGGACTGTAGTCTGCCAGGCTCCTCTGTCCGTGGGATTCTCCAGGCAAGAATACTGGAGTGAATTGCCATTCCCTTCTCCAGGGATCTTCCCAACACAGGGTTTGAATCCGGGTCTCCTACATTGCAGGCAGATTCTTTACTGTTTGAGCTACAAATAAGGTTAAATAGTACTTTATAGGTCTGAGAGGATTAACTAGACAGGGAATGTTCTCATTGTATTGTCTGGCTAACTATAATAACTGATAAATGCCAAGACTTTTAATTGGATCAAATCCCTACAGAGAAACAGGTAGCTTAATGCATTGTTTTAATTTTCCTATTTTTTCTTTTCTGTGTCTTTGCTTACCCTCTGGGAGTAATAATTTAAACTATACACTTGTGAAAAATAAATATGAAATCTTCAGGTTACCTCAGACTATAATTTTCCATCAAATAGTATTATGTGTAGAAGTGAGTAATCTACTGAATATAGAGATTAAAGTTGATAAGCGGAATTCCCTGTTGGTCCTGTGGCCAAGACTCCATACTCCCAAGTGTAGGCTACTAGGTTTGTCCCCAGTCAGGGAGCTAGATCCTGCATGGTGCAACTAAAGACCTGGCAGAGCCAAATAAATAAATGTTTTTTAAAAAAGGTTAAAATTTTAAAAGACATAAACTTGATGTATGTATTCATTCGTCAGGCATCCAAGTGTCCCTCCTATGAGTTCTTATAGAACCTTAACTATAGCACTTTTTTAAGACTTTCGTTGTGTGTTTGCTTTTCTGAGTTCCTCATTAATCTTTAAATTCCTTAAAGAAAGGCCTGAGAATATCTTGTTTAACAATGCATTTTATCTTCCTCTGTCAATCCCACAGAAACTTACAATGCTTGTAACTCTAGAACAAGATTATCATACAAAAAATTTATTTCAATTTATACCTGATAATTTTTTATTAAGAATATATAACCATGTAGTTGATTGTAGTATTCCTAAATATGAAAATATTTTATGTACATTTATATTTATCTTTGTATTGGAACTTATAGAGTGAACAATGCTCAGATAATTTGGGAAGTATTACTTATTGGAGTTTAGAATGCATTTTGCACCTAAAATTTGAACATGAATGTGCCTGATATTTTGGAGAGTCACAACACTGTATAAATAATGAAGGCATGTACAAAAGACTCCATGTAGGAGGAAAATTACAGAGTACCTAATTTAATTTAATAGTTTATTTTAAGGATGTGCGCATGTTTATAAAGTTTGTCTATGGTATTTAACAGGCATCGCAGCAAATTATGCTAATAAAACATTGGTTGTTATACACTCTGTGATTAAAAGTTATGCTATTAAAATTACATTGAAATTCTCATTGTTTCTAATGGTTTTTGTTATTAAGACCCATGTAGCTTTTGTGTCCTTATAAAAAGTTATGAATGTTACATATAGATTAAAAGAAAATGTATGGAGAAAAATATACCATGCTAACACTTATCAAAAGAAGGCAGCACTTACATTAACTTCAGACAGACCAGACTTCAAAGTAAGGAAGGATTTTCAAGGATTAAGAAAGGGATTATTACATAATAATAAAGGAGTCAATTCTCTCAGGAGACATCATCCTTAACGTGTTTGCACCTAATGACAGAACCACATAAGGCAAAAACTGATAGAACTGCCGAAAGAAATAGATGAAGCTACTATCATAGTTGGAAACTTCAACATCCATCTCTCAGAAATGGACAGTTCCAGCAGATAGAAAATCAGTAAAGACAGAGTTGAATTCAATGATACTAATCAATTAATTGGATATAATTTACTTCTATGGTCTACTTCATCTGACAACAACAGAATACACATTCTTCTCAAGCTCACAAGAAATATTTACCAAGATAAACCACATTCTGGGGCATAACACACACTTTAGAAAATTTAAAAGAATAGAAACAATATGTCTTTTCTCATAAAGGAGTTAAATGAGAAATCAATAACAGACAGGTAATAGAAAAATTCCCAATTGCATGGAGATTATGCAGCACATTTCTAAATAACACATGGGTCAAAGAAGAAATCTCAACAGAAATTAAAATATATTTTGGAGTAAATAAAAATGAAAAAAAAAAAGCCTTATCCAAATGTATGGGTTTGTACAAATGTACAAGCATAAGTGGTATTTAGAGGGAAATTTATAGTAAAATAAGTTTCCACCTTGGGAAGCTAGAAAAAGAAGAGCAATCAAATGCCAGCAAGGGTAAGAAAAGAAATAATAATTACAGCAGAAATCAATGAAATTGAAACAAAATCAATAGAGAAAAACCAGTAAAACCAAAACCTATGCATGTGTGGGAACAGGGAAGGAGATGGGAAGTCTGTAATTTCCTTTCAATTTTATTATAAACCTAAAATTGCTCAAACAAAAAAAGTCTTCCTAAAAAAGTAGTAGTGTTGTTGTTGTTCAGTTGCTAAGTCGTGTTCAACTCTTTGCGACCCCATGGGCTGCAAAATGCCAGACTGCTCTGTGCTCCAGTGTGTCCTGGAATTTGCTCAAATGCATGTCCATTGAGTTGGTGATACTATCTAACCATCTCATCCTCTGCCGCCCCCTTCTCCTTTTGTCTTCAGTCTTTCACAACATCAGTGTCTTTTCCAGTGAGTTGTCTCTTTACATCAGGTGGTCAAAGTATTGGAGCTTCAGCATCAGTCCTTCAATGAATATTCAAGGTTGATTTCCTTTAGGATTGACTGGTTTGATCTCCTTGTTGTCCAAGGGCATCTCAAGAGTCTTCTCCAGCATAATAATTTGAAAGCAAAATAACTAGTATAGTCTTAAATACATCAAGCTTGTAAAATATGTTCTGGGGGTAATATTTTCCAAAGTAATATTTGCTTGTAAATTGGCGTTTATACATACACAAATCTGAATTTTTTGGATGTGCCTATTATTAATAAAAATCTCATAATTTCTCTTGCTTTGAAATTGGAATATTAGTGGATTTTTTTTTTAGAAAAACCTTCTTTATCTACAATGTATTTATTTTTCTTCTTAAAGATGTAGGTTCCTTAGAAAATAGGTTTTCCAGAATATTTTAGTACATAAATTCAAAAATTACCTTTTAAATTGCTTACAATTACAGGTAATGTTACATATTTGGTGTAATTTGAAGATACCCACTGTTTTTGCATCTTGACTTCCATCTGTAAAATCTGGGTCATTTACAGATCATAAAAATACACTTTTTGCCTTATTCTTGTTTTTTTCCAAATATTAAATGGGTAATATAATATTGTAAAAATTAATTTATTATAAATATTATAATCATATTAATTATATAATCATATTATTAATATAAATATTTATTATTAATTTATCATAATTGGATTTGCAAATTACAATATTGTGGTGGTTTTTGCCATACATTGACATGAATCAGCCATGGGTGTATGTGTCCCCCATTCCGAACTCCCCTCCCATCTCCCTCCCCATTCCATCCCTCTGGGTTGTCTCAGTGCACCGTCTTTGAGTGCCCTGATTCATGCATCAAACTTAGACTGGTCATATGTTTCACATATGGTAATATACATGTTTCAATGCTATTCTCTCAAATCATCCCACCCTCACCTTCTCTCACAGGGTCCAAAAGTCTATTCTTTATATCTGTGTCTTTTTTGCTGTCTTGCATATAGGGTTGTCATTACTAGCTTTCTAAATTCCATGTATGTGTGTTAACATACTGTATTGGTGTTTTTCTTTCTTACTTACTTCACTTTGTATAATAGGCTCCAGTTCCATCCACCCCCTTAGAACTGACTCAAATGCGTTCTTTTTACTAGCTGAGTAATATTCTGTTGTGTACATGTACCCCAGTTTTCTTATCCATTCATCTGCCACTGGGCATCTAGGTTGCTTCCATGTCCTAGCTATTGTAAACAGTGCTGCAATGAACATTGGGGTACAGGTGTCTCTTTCAATTCTGGTTTCCTCAATATGTATGACCATCAGTGGGATTGCTAGGTCATATAGCAGCTCTATTTCCAGTTTTTTAAGGAACCTCTGCACTGTTCTCTATAGTGACTGTACTAGTGTGCATTCCCACCTACAGTTTAAGAGAGTTCCCTTTCCTCCACTACCTTTCCAGCATTTATTGTTCATAGACTTTTTGATAGGAGCCATTCTGACTGGCATGAGATGATATCTCATTGTGTTTTTGATTTGCATTTCTCTGATAATGGGTGATGTTGAGCATCTTTTCATGTGTTTGTCTGCCATCTGTATTTCTTCTTAGGAGAAATGTCTGTTTAGTTCTTTTGCCTGTTTTTTGATTGGGTCGTTTATTTTTCTGATATTGAGCTACATGAGCTGCTTGTATATTTTTGAGATTAATTCTTTGTCAGTTGCTTCATTGGCTATTATTTTCTCCCATTCTGAAGGCTGTCTTTTCATCTCACTTGTAGTTTCCTTTGTTGTGCAAAAGCTTTTAAGTTTAACTAGGTCCCATTTGTTTAGTTTTGCTTTTATTTCCATTACTCTGGAGGATTGGTTATAGATTTATGTCAGTGAGTGTTCTGCCTAGGAGTTTTATAATTTCTGCTCTTACATTTGGAT